CGATAACGCCCGCCGGCGGTGGTGGCGACGCGCAGGTGCATCTGGTGACGTCAGAGGTCCAGGGCGCCGGCCGGCCCGGCGGAGAGATTGGAGCGGAGCGGGGCACGGCGGCGAGACGGGGGTCAACCGGGTCAGGGAACGCGCGCGGCCAGCGGCCTTTTGATCCGCCTGCTCCCCGCCGCGAAGATGTCACTCCGCCTGAGCGACTGCGGTGGAGTGATCCCAAGAGAGGGAATGGGGAATGCGTTGTTTTGATGTTCTTGGCGACAGAAATGTTGGCGGCGACGGATCGGTGCCGGATGGGACGTTCGGCGAGCTCTGGAAACAGGTCGCGACTACCACTGCAGGATGACAACCTTGTGAGAGGACTGCATCACAGCGCGCAGCTGTAACACGGCTTGCTCCTGGCACTTCTGATCATTCTTGACAGGGGTTTACAACGAATGGAGAATCGGGAGGGTTTAACCTGATATACCCTTTAAAGAAAGCGCGGTCAACATTTACACGAGTCTCGTCTGCCAAACGTGCGTGGCACTTCACTATCAAGACGACTGTCACACGCACCCTTGTCACGACCTTCCACACCGGTTGTCGTGTTCCGACCCGTTACAAACCCGCAGGAACCGAGCCCTGCACTCCCGCTGCCAGACGGCAAACCCCTGCACCGTCGCCGGGACAGGCGGAGCAGCACCAGCAGCCATATCGACATAGCAATATCAGCCAACGCCTCGCTGTTGCTTGGTAGATGTATACGCCACTGGGGCCTTTGGACCGCTGGTGCATTTTCGGCATAACGTATGCGGCGGCATGTTCGCCCTTTCCCGTGTATTTCGTCCCGTGGCCGTGCGCTTCAGACGCGGCGCGACTCTGGGCAGGGGCACGAACGTGGACGTGTTCCGGCGCTGGAGCCGGGCGGAGCGCCCGCTCCGCCGCCCTGGTCCTATGTGACGTCACAGGTCACGTCACGAACGTGATGGTCCACGGAAGGGGGGGGGGCCAGCAAGACGGGGTCTTAGGAGCCGGGCCTGTCTGGCTGCGTGCTCGCGACGTGCGAATTCATGCAGAACAAATATAATGAGCAGGGTTGCCTTAGTCGGTAGCTTAGGGGTCGTCAATAATATGTGTTATTGTTACGTACGCAACGTTTAACATCGAGGGGGATGGAGCGTAACCAAAGCGCAGCGTAGCCAAACAGGAAGGGGAGAGGGTCTGCACAAGCGTAGCTTTACGCTCAGGTGTGGTATCAAATCATGATACCATTTTTCAAAATGTTCAAATGTTCAAATGTCCAAAAAAAGTTTAAAACCTTCAAACCGGATATCCTTGGTTTCCTCTCATGACAAACATTCCACCCGTGTTAGTTTCGCACCTTTAGCCAAACAAGGGGACACACGGATGCTACCTTTAGATGATGCTACACTTAATACGCACTCGGTGGGGGCCAATTCGACCGCCGCCCCCATGTTTTTTTTCCAAAATGATTTCCGAACAGCCCGGCGTAGCCGCCCCAAACTTTGCGCACGAAATCAAATATCAGATATAAGAATATAAGATCTTTTGGTATCAAATCACATATACGTTGCAAGGTCACTGACCTGTGGCAGGTCAAAGGCAGGCCGCGGCTGCCAGCGAAGGTCATTTCTAGGGAATCGTTCAACCTGATACGGCAACGGAGTGCTGAACAAAGCACCTCCGAAATCGCTTCTTGGGGAACAAACCAATTGATAGCATAATCACAACAAATTCCATTGACCTAGGGTCAGATATGGAGGTCAGAACAAGGTCAAAATTAACGTGGTTTTTACTCGACAGCTAATTTAAGGGGCAGTTTCGGGTGCTCAATTCGAATTTATGAATGACACGGATAACAACAGACAAGTTCCATGGACTTCCTGAGGGTCAGAGTAGGTCACTGACCTTAAATGACCCAGGTCAACATTTTGTTTTTTACCGCCTAGTGTAATTCCTGACCCTTATTGAAATGGCAAAATAGGAGCCATCTCGCAGGTTTTTGGCCACCATGACATACTAAGGCCACTGGTCTTAATTGAACACCATCAACCTTTTGCCTGGAACAGGTATCTGGGTTCATGGGCGGTTGCGTGAGGAGGTCTGGGGCACTTTGGACACCAATCTGGAGTTTGACCTTGTTTGACCCTATCTGACCCCGAAATTACGACCTAGGTACCTTACATTTTAACACAAGTGAGTTCACGTGCAGGCCAACCCACCTTTTGAATTTGGTGTCCCTAGCCACCTTATTTTTTAGAGTTTTTTTGGGACCTCAGGGCGTGGGCTAATTGACCCCCTCCCCCCCACGAGCGAAGGGTATTCAACCGGCCATCCGGGCGCGTATAACATAGCGCAACCAAGGGGAGGGGGGGGGGGGGCTTTCGCCCAGCCCAATAAGTGTGTAACCAGGGAGGAGGAGGAAATAGGCCAAACTGCATAACGTCATTTATGAACGACCCCTCATTTGATGAATGCGCCGAGCGTGCCGCCAGTATACCCCGGTTATCGGCGACACGTCACGAACGTCACACGCGTTACACGCGGACCACGACCACCGTGAGAACTTCGCTGACGTCCGCACCGACCACCAACACCGCATCTGTCCGGGAGCCTGCACACGCGCGCTAGGAGGCCTCTCTCCAGTACCCACCACGGGACGGCGCCGTCTGCGCCCTTCCCCCGCCCCCTCCCCCGTCCCCAGGAGCCACCAGACGTTTTCGGCGGCTGCTGGCCCGGTCGATCCGACGGCAGCGGCCGGATCGACCGGGCCGGCGGCGGATCGGCTCCATCGATCCACAGATCCGGCGGACCGATTTTTGAGACCGGCACGGGGCGGCTGTCCGACCAGGCCTTCGCAGCAGGACCGGCGGCATGGCGAGCAACGCCCGCCCACCGTCACACTGACCGCGGTCAAATGGCTGAGCTTTTCAATTACGGTCTAAAATGGCGACGACAGATGTGCAGCACATCAAGTGGAGGAGAAGAGTGAAGCAAATGTTTCGACATTAATTACGAATTCACAGGGTGTTTTTTCAGCGGGTTAGGTTCACGTCTGTCAGTCGTAACTAAACATCGTTTGCGTATTTATCGAATCCTTACAGGGTCAGCGTTTTGGGGTTTGGGAACGATTCACTGAAACATATCCATCTCAGTTCTGAATTAACACCTTTGACGTCGCACTACCAAAACGACGAATAAGCTGCCAGTACTCCATGTGCTTCACAATGGGGAGCACGATGCGCCTACGTGGCATTTGCTGCCTTACGCGGCGTTCTTTTCTCAAACACAGAACACATGTCAGTGAAGTCACAAAGCCGGCGGACGACCATCGGCCTGTGACGTCACATCTTAGGGCACGTCACCAGTTCGGCACGAGGGTTCGGTATAGCAAAGAAACTTCCCACACTTACTTTGTGTCCCGTACAAGACGACAACCGCTTTTCCAAAACCCCGGTCATATTTGAAGTATCACTACGGGGCCACATTTGAAGTATCACTACCACATATTCGAAGTATAGCATCGCATAGGGAGCCGCAATGAAGCCAAAACTGCACGGAATTCTTGCAACATGGAGCGAACGCCTGGTGCTAAGAAAGGTGAAATATGGAGAAGGAGGGCATGGATCTTACCATGTGTACGCCACGCCTTTTTCGACATACGCCAGCATCACACCAATATCACATGAAGCATCAATAACTTACGGACATGCGGTACAGACACCACTTAGTAGTGAAACTTATTAGACACCACTTACACCACTGGCACTTAAAGTCGCTATTAGGAACCTGGACTAAGACGCCATCCCTCGTGACAGCCCCGTCGCCGTGAATTTGTCCTGGGAATTTCTCGCCGCCCGTGGGCACTCATGGAACAGCTATTCCTGAAATAACCCGGGACCAGGAGCGCCGGGCGGGTAGGCGTCGACCCAGCCGCACCCGGTGACCTTGACCTTTGCCCCGCCCCGCCGCCGCTGTCGCTAGGCCGGGCGGCCTCGCTCATCGCGGGAGGGTTATTCGAGTCGTCGGCCGCTGTAGATCGTGCCGTAAAAGTCGATCATGCCTAGCTTGAAGTAGTGCCGCTACGTGAGGTTCGCGAGCCGTCCAAAGATGCGCGTTGTTGCGCATTTTTTTCGCGTGCGCGCTGCGAGTGCTCTGCTCAGAACGTAGGGGTCTAGTTTGATTTCGATCAATCACACCTGCACCGCTCACTAATCAAAATAACCGCCTACGTGCTCATGTTCGCGCTCAGGCGTGCGCGGCATTGCGTGGTCTTGCAGAGGACTTGGTGTATAGGAAGAGAACTGTGTCACACACCGTTCACACATGGCGAATACCCCCCTCACGTGTTCATTTCATGGCCTTGCATGGACCGTATGCATAAGGGCACTACTCAACAGACGTCACTCAACAGATGTTAAAGAGGGTTCAGCGCGCTCACGTTTGGTAATCAGCACAGCTGCTATGGTCTTTGCAAGGAAACATATCTAGCGGGCATAACTCACTGTCGCCACATCCTCAAAACACACCTAATATAATCAGTACCAACTTACAAGGTTACCTGCATCGCATTATCATATCAAGGAAATGGTCTCTTTAATAACAAACCCGAATCAGTCTTGTGTAGCTTCTAGAGGGCCGTAACAAGACACAGTAACAGGTACAACTAAACAGCAGGAATGTCTTGAAAGGAGCCGAGAAACCTCAGGAACCAATTATGGTGCTTTCACAGCGCAGGTAACTGCTCTTACCGCCCCCCCCCCAAAAAAAAACAGACGCCGGCCCATTTGCGAAATTATTTGTTTGCTTAGCGATGGGATCAGTCTTCCCCACTTAGCCCTAACACTCCGACACCGCACTGGAGCCCTGAAGACACTATGACGTCACGACCTGGCTCGTTCATGCCTTCATACAAACACACGAGCCCCGAAACCGTGGGCGGCGCACCCATCCCTCCCGCATCGCCCCCGGCGCGCCTGAGCGCTCCTCACCGGCAGCTGGAACCTGGCGTACTGCTGCTCCTCGGGGCTCCGCGGGAAGTACAGCGGCATCAGCACCTCGTATATGCCGGCGTCCATGACGTCCGGCACCAGCACGACCAGGGTGTCGGCGCAGGCGAAGCGCTCCAGGTAGCGCCGCACCGTACCTGCGGGAGGGGGGCCAGGGGTCAGCGGATGCTTGAGCGGGGACCAGCGGAGGTCAGAGTGAGGTCAGCGGAAGCTAGCGCTGGGGTCGGTGGAATTCAGAGCGGAGGTCAACGGAGGTAGGAGCGGGGGCCAGAGAAGGTTAGAGCAGGGGTCACAGGAGGTAAAAACAAGGGGTCAGAGGAGGTCAGAGTGGGGCTCCGCGGAGGTTAGGGCGGGATTCAGCGGAGGTTCGAGCAGAGGCCAGAGGGGGCTAGAGTAGGGGTCAGAGGAGGTTAGAGCAAGGGCCAGAGGCTAGAGCAGGGGTCAGAGGCTAGAGCAGGGGTCAGAGGAGGTTAGAGGAAGGGCCAGAGGAGGTTAGAGCACGGGCCAAAGGAGGTTAGAGCAGGGGCCAGAGGTTGGAGGAGGTTAGAGCAGCGGCCCAAGGAGGTTAGAGCAGGGGCTAGAGGTTAGAGTAGGGGTCAGCGGATGTCGGAGGTCACGACGGGCTCTCATCCCAGGTCACGACATCAGCAAGCGCCAGGTGAGGTCGGAAGAGAGGTAGGGACATCCGCCAGGTCCACAGGGACAGAGAACAGTACAGTCCAGCATGAGTCAGACTCGACCAGTGCGAACCGGTCTCAGCCGTGTCTGGTCATTGTCATTCAGACTTAACGACTCACTCCGCTGCTGAGGCTGTAAGTCAGTGGGGCTATTGGGACGGGCAGATTTGAAAGAACGTTTGTAATTCATAATCATAAATCACGAGCCGTCATGATCTGTATCTCACCAACGCCATGAGTAGAGACCGCGGAACAATCTCTCAACTTCTATCCATTTAAACGCTTCAGTGTCTGTGGGCCAAACCGAGCCATACTGCCTCGCTGGCCACAGTGAAGCGAGCCGCGTCAGTAACTGACTGTCAGTGACCCGACCGGCCCCTCGGTCTTCGCCGGCGGCACCGCAGGCTACTGCCCAGTCGGGCCCAGTCACTGCCGCACGACGGACAGGCGCAGCCACCACCAGCGGCGGCGGCGACAGGGGAGCACACGTGGGAGGCTCCAGCAGCCGACGTCCGGGGGCAGGGCTCGCGACAGGAGGACGAGAGCGGCCGTCGCAGCAGGGGGCTCCAGCCACACGGCGGCGAAACATCGAGGTGACAGGGAGCACGGTCACAAGGGAGTGCATCACGAGGATCACCGCGGCAACAACCAGGTCAGGTCACACAAGGAACATCTGACCCGCATGCTGAAACGGTAACGAACCACACACGAACACCGCGGTTTCGCAACAAACACCGCATCAGGCTTCCCAGCAACACACAGAACACGATGAGATACTACAGAAGCGAACACAACAGGGCACCACGAGCTCGCTGGTCACAACCCACCGACATGTCGCAGCCCAACATGGAGCGCCGCCCCGGGTCGCAGGCCATGAGGTCGCAGGTCATGAGGTCGCAGGTCATAAGGCCGCAGGTAGGGTCATCGCAGGTAATAAGGTCGCAGGTCAGGTCATCGTGTGTCATGAGGTCGCAGGTCAGAAGGCCACAGATTAGGCCATCGCAGGTCATAAGATCGCAGGTCAGGTCATCGCAGGTCACGAGGGTCGCAGGTCATAAGGCCACAGGTTAGGTCATCACAGGCCATAAGGTCGCAGGTCAGGTCATCGTACGCCATGAGGTCGCAGGTCATAAGGCCACAGGTTAGGCCATCGAAAGTCATAGGGTCTCAGGTCAGGTCATCGCAGGTCACGAGGTCACGGAGTCGGAAGCCTGCCGTCGTCTCGGAGCGCGGACACCGCGGTCGGCGGAGGTGACAGCGAGCGCCGCCGTCACACAGCTTCCCGGCGGCGGCCCGTGGGGCTTCATGGATCAGCGGCTCCGACCACCACGCTCGGTTTTCTCGGAAAACTGCCCCCTCCCTCCCCACACCCGAGTTCCCTCGCAGCGGGCGGTACTACGGAGTCGTGTCAGCTCTCAGGGACTGCCGAGAGAGCCGCAGTTGAGCGCCGCGCTCGGCGCGGAGGCCGGCGACAGTCGTGTACGTCGGGGAGGGCTCCCGTATGAGCGGCGAGAAATTCAATTACATTCTAAAAACAATTGGCTGCAGGCATGGAAAGGCGTCGGCTTTCAGTGTCTGGGAAACACGACTCTGTGGAGAATGGTTATGCCCCCAAAGTGGTCGGAACTACGGGACGGCTTCTATGGCCCGGCCTGTTGATTGCGTGACATCGAAAAATCCCCAGTGTGACAAACAACACTCTAACGGTACCGTCGCCTATGGTTAACGATCCCACAGTCGTTGGTGAAACGCATGCAACACGCTGGTACCCTTAGCAACGACAGCCATGACGACGACAGATTTCGTGGTGACATTCGCTAAGCTACGTTTTGCATATTCTCGCTGCCATGTCTGCCATGTAATCATGCGATTTTAAATGTTCGTAGCTAGGGGACTTACACTTAGACCCCAAAAGGAAACTGATAATAGCATTGCACTACCACCTGCAACGCAAGCCGAATTACGACTCTGGCAGATCACCAGCGCACTAAAATCGCGTCAGTTCTGATACAAATTCGACGCAACCGCGACAAATACTTCCGCACACGGCAGTCGGCGGTCTCCGGGAACCCAAGCGTGCACCGGTGCATCAGGCTCCTAAAAAGTCACGGCCGCGAGACGGCCGCACGTAGCATGCACACCGCCCGATACCCGTGTCGTGTGTCGGCACGTGGGTGGCCGCGCGGCACGAGCCAGCACGTGGCGCTGCGACTCACGGAGGGCGATGTGCGCGCCGGCGTCGGGCGGGAACTCGCGCCGGGCCGAGTGCAGGCAGGGCAGCGCAACGCTGGCCAGGCGGCGCTCATTCACCAGCTGCAGCACCTCCCTGGAGGAGAGCGCGGGCGGGCGGGTCAGGGGCTAGAGCTGCGCAGACGGGCGTGACAGGAGACAGAGCTGCACGGGCGGATGGGTCAGGAGACAGAGCTGCGCGGGCGGACGGGTCAGGAGACAGAGCTGCGCGGGCGGACGGGTCAGGAGACAGAGCTGCGCGGGCGGACGGGTTAGGAGACAGAGCCGCGCGGGCGGACGGGTTAGGAGACAGAGCCGCGCGGGCGGACGGGTCAGGAGACAGAGCTGCGCGGGCGGATGGGTTAGGAGACAGAGCTGCGCGGGCGGACGGGTCAGGAGACAGAGCTGCGCGGGCGGGCGGGTCTGGAGACAGGGCTGCGCGGGAGGGCAGGTCAGGAGACAGAGCTGCGCGGGCGGGCGGGTCTGGAGACAGGGCTGCGCGGGAGGGCAGGTCAGGAGACAGAGTTGCGCGGGCGGGCAGGCCAGGAGACAGAGCTGCGCGGGCGGGCGGGTCAGGAGACAGAGCTGCGCGGGCGGGCGAGTCGGGAGTCCGCGCCGCGCAGACCAGCGGGCCAGGAGACAGAGCTGCGCAGGTTAGCGAGTCAGGAGTCAGAGCTGCGCACTTGGGCGAGTCAGGAGACAGAGCTGCGCACTTGGGCGGGTCCGGAGACAGAGCTGCGTAGGCTGCGGACCTCCCCTGGCGGAGAGGAGCACGGACACACGACTGAGGCAACACAGCTGCGCAGGTTGTGGCAACTCCCTTGGGAGGGGAGGAAGAGAGCACAGGCACGACGGTCAGGAGACAAGACCGCACTGGCTGCAGCCCTCCCCCCCCCCTGGCTAGTGTACCACAGCTCCTTCGTCCTTTGCTACCTCCGTGCGGGCTTGAGCTCGAATCACAGTGGGGTTTGGTGGGCTCAGACACTGAATTTCGCTCAGTCAGAATACGATTCCTCAGCAATATGGGCACAGCGGAGTCAGAGTTGAACCAAAGGATGAGGCAACTGGAACGGAAACATAACAGCCGATATTCTTTTTTCAGACGGACCTTGCATATATATATATATATATATATATATATATATATATATATATATATATATATATAAAGTAAATAGCACCACTTTCGCGTTAACGGAATGTAAATAGCTTTATCGGAAAGACCCGATTCGAATCAGATCTACTGAACCAAACTCAAACTTAATGCCAAATTCCGCTGTGCTCTTCTTAATCAGCGTTTGGATCACCCTAATGCGTTGCGAATCGCGGTCGGGATCGATTCAACAAGAGCGGGGCCAGGCACAAGTACGCCTCGCGGGCACCCAGCAGCGTACGGACGACACGCGAGACCGCCGCCGGTGCCCTCTAAGTCTGCTCGCTCCACCAGCTCCCAGAAATGCAGAACAAAGCAGCCTGTACGGGGATGAGTCGACAGCAGTGCGACATCCGCGGCGCTCTGTGGCAGCACACTTGAACACGCGTCACAGGAGGCTGTGCTGTGACGGGTTTAAGAACTGAGGCAATGCGCGTCACGATCCGCGTCACGCCGATTCCGGCGGAGAGCGTCACAACACAGCTCGCAGTAAGACTCGAACCCACGCCCCCGCGTTCGAAAACTTGTTATTCTACCGCTAAGTATCAATGCTACCTGAGCAAACCCAGCACGCGCCTATATTGCTGCCAATCAGGCTGTCCACAACTGAGCACGGCACCGCACAGACGCGCTAGCCGGTGGAGCTACGTTAGCGACCGCTCTCACTGAAACAAACAAGGCCAGGCCGACGCAGCCAAACGGAATTCACACGCACACGCATGCGGGGCGCCTGGTGGAGGTTCCCCACTGCACCACCCGCCTGACGGAACACGACAACACGGGCCTGCCTCGGTCGATCGTACGACAGTGGGTGCAGAGCGCAGGAGCCCGCAGGCCGAAAGTGTTACACCGTCACTCGGTAGTACTACGGACGCAGCACATCCCTGGCACAGAACAAGAGCACGGACCCGTTTCGGCTGACGAGGCAGCACCACTGAAGACCACGGCAACTCACGCAGGCGTCCGCTGAAAGCGTCACAGCAGCTGCCGCACCAGACCTCGCGAGCAGGGAGCACAGACACTCCGCGTCGGCCGACCACGCCGCAGCGGCTCAGCGCCGGTACACCGCGTCCGCCGACGCCACGCCGTCCGCGCGGCACGGGCGCCGCCGAACGCGTCCGCCGGCCGGGCCGCCGCCACCGAGGAGCGTGGCCGTCGGGCGGGCCGGGTGCCGCGGACCGGAGCCGCCCCCCGCCGGTGGATAATCGACACGGGAACCGCGCGGCCTTACGTCATCGCGCGGCCGTCGGGCGGGATCGATGCCGGCGCGGCGGCGGCGAGCCGACGCCGACGGCGAACGGAGGAGCGACACAGACGCACGGCGGACGGAGGAGCGACACAGACGCACGGCGGACGGGGAAGCGACATAAACGCACGGCGAACGGAGGAGTGACACAGACGCACGACGGACGGACTGAGGAGCGACACAGAGATACGGACGGAGGAGCGCCACAGACGCACAGCGGACGGGGAAGCGGCACAAACGCACGGCGGACGGAGGAGCGACACAGGCGCACGGCGGACGGAGGAGCGACACAGACGCACGGCGGACGGGGAAGCGACATAAACGCACGGCGAACGGAGGAGTGACACAGACGCACGACGGATGGACTGAGGAGCGACACAGAGATACGGACGGAGGAGCGCCACAGACGCACAGCGGACGGGGAAGCGGCACAAACGCACGGCGGACGGAGGAGCGACACAGGCGCACGGCGGACGGGGAAGCGAGGCGGACGGACGGATGAACGACACAGACGCACGGCGAACGGAGGAGTGACACAGACGCACGGCGGACGGACTGAGGAGCGACACAGACATACGGACGGAGGAGCGCCACGGACGCACAGCGGACGGGCAGAAGAGCGGCACGGACGCACGGCGAACGGACGGAAGCGAGGGGGCACAGAGCACAGGCCAACAGAGACAGTACCCACAGATACGCAGACGCGTACAGTGCATGTTTAGGCAGGGAACCAAGCGACGATACAATGCCGGCGCGCGACTTGACGTGCATGAAAAAAGGGAGTGTGCATGCCGATGGTGATATTTTGGTTTAGGGGCGCTCGACAGGCGGGGTCATCTTATGCCTCTGGCAGTGTTCAGAAGCTGGCATATGATGATTGTCGCATGCCGGGATTACGTAACAAGTGCGCTGTCTGATCACAGATAAATTTGTCAAATTACGGGTTTTCCAGTGTCACTGTCAACAGGAAATGCTCGTCGAAAACGGCGCCACAGAAAAGTAGCCAAGGGCAAATCATTACCAGCGTACAGATCCATTATCATGGAACATATCGACATAATGGGTGGAAGGCACAGAAGCTAAAAGCCAATAATTGTCCGGCACCACAACTACAGACGCCGACAACAAAATACGGAGGCCGACAGCACATGGTACATCAAACATACATGTCGCTAGCGCCATCTATAACATCGCGCACGCAAGCAAACTCGCGCACACTGACGAGATACTGGCAAAAAACATCAGAAAATACCGCAAGTAACGAACATCGCCTCACACCAACGAACTCTACAGCCAAACACCGCGCACATCCTCCAAACAAGACCTACGTTTATCCTCTGAGCCGGCGAGACCGCGCAAGCATGCCGTCTTCCGGCTTGGCTTGGGAGGAATCTGACGCGGTGCTCGCGCTGTGGCTCGTGTTGGCGGCTCTCCGCCGCTGTGTCAGCCGCCGGCGCCGGCTCACCTATAGCAAGCGTGAAGAGTGCTCTCGGCGGCCGTCCTGTAGCGTCGGTTGTAGCGCGGCGTGGACGTGTGGATGACGAAGCGGGCCGGCAGGTTGTAGCCCTTGGTCAGCCGGGCCTCGCCCGTCGGCAGGCCTGGCGGGTTTGAGTAAGGTCAAGTAAGGTCAGGTCAGGTCAGGTCAGGTCACTTGTCACAGTGCGGTTGGATAAAGACTACGCCGGTTTGTTCGAACGCGGCAACGCGGTGAAATAGCGGCAACAAGCGGCCAAACTCAGGAAGACAATCGTGGTGGCAATCAGAAGCGATTTTTAGAACCATCTTTTGGGTCGGGTCTAGCCAGTGCCGTCACATTTTGCTGTCGTCTCGCCCTGAAACGACAGGCAGCACTGAGCAGCAGCTGCAGTGCGACACCCGGTCTCGGTCGCAAGACCCATCGCGCAAGCGAAGTTCAGGACGTAACGACCCCCGGCGAGGCAGACTTGTTTGCGCCGTCACTGATGTTAACCGTAAAACTGGGCCGAGCAGGACGGCTGGCAAACGGCCACCCGCCTCCGATGGTTAGTGAAGCTGGGCGGTCTATGTGTTTTGCTGCCTGGCCCGGCGCTAATCACTGACTCTGCCACAGTGACGGGCACCGCAACAGTATACAAACAGTACGGTAAACAGTGCCTGCTCTAGTTACATCCGTCGACAGCTGCAGCCAGGCTGCCTGCCAGCCATGTGCTCTGCGTGGATTGCGCGGATCCCACGGGCAGGCCAAGGGTTCATTGGGGGTTTATGGTAATACGATCTTGGGATCAGATCCTGGGATCTTTTTTGGGCTGCGAAGCACATGTCTTAGGCTGACGCGCCTCTACCGACCGGTGCCGTCGCTGGACTTAAGCCATGCTACCGGCTATGTAACCTGCTTTGCTGGCGGCCGTTTCGTGCCATTGTGCGGCTCATTAAAGACCCCAGGACCATTTCGCAAACATGTCTGGGCAAAATGGCACTAAAGCTAGTACGGTTCCGGCGGTGGCGCTTTTATCTACGCTGCAACCTTTGCTTAGCGAGAACTCCCAACCCAATACCACTTCAGCAACAAACGCGAAAGACCGAATTTCATGTAAAAGCGTCAAAACATCATTCGACTAAAAACCTCGCATCGGACACATAGTTGAAAACTCGCGCCAGCCACCACGCAAAACAAATAAAAATGCATTGAAATACAACAAATGAAACCTTATTTGTTGTGTTGTGTATGGTTGTTGTAATACGTAGTTGTCGCGTAGTGTATAGTTATTCTACGGTGTAGTTAAGTTGTGTTTATATGTTATATTGTGTAGTTGAGTCATGTTTTAGTTTGTATTGTGTAGCTGTTGTGCGGCGAGTAGTTGCTATATTGTGTAGTTGTTGTGCGGTGTAAAGTTGTTTTCTTGTGCATAGTTGTTGTATCGCGTACCCACACTGTGCATATGTTTTGTATCGTGTAGTTGTTGTGTTGTGTATATTTGTTGTGTTGTGTCTAATTGTGTTGTGTATGACTGTTGTGCTGTGTATACTGACAGGTTCGTGTATACTGACGTTTGTTGTGTTGTGTCTAATTGTTGTGTTGCGTATGACTGTCGTTCTGTGCATACTGACGGGTTCGTGTATACTGACGTTTGTTGTGTTGTGTCTTATTGTTGTGTTGCGTATGACTGTCGTGCTGTGCATACTGACGGGTTCGTGTATACTGACGTTTGTTGTGTTGTGTCTTATTGTTGTGTTGAGTACGACTGTTGTGCTATGCATACTGACGGGTTCGTGTATACTGCCGCTTGTTGTGTCGTGTCTAATTGTTGAGTTGCGCATGACTGTCGCGCTGCGCGCACTGACGGGTTCGTGAGCGCCGCAGCTCCGCGGCCATCTCGGGACCGGCCCGCTCCATCAGGTGGCGACACACCGGACTGGCGCCGCTGTCCCGCTCGTCGGACGACACCACCACGCACGAGGTGTTCAGCTGGCACAGGCGGCCGTACCTGCGGCACGCGGCACACGCTCCGTCAGACGGGCGGGCGCCGGCGTCTGGATACCGAACATCGAGCTGGGGGTACCGGTCGGTTTCTAGGCACTGCTGGCCCAACGGATCGGTGTCCAGGCTTCCACGGGGGTCGGGCTGGGCTTCTGGGGGCTCCTCCGGAGGTCGGGCTGGGTCGGGCTGGCTCCTGGGGGCTTCCTACGGGGGTCGGACTGGGCTCCTGAGGGCTCCTCCGGGGATCGGGCTGGGGTCCTGGGGGCTTCCACGGGGGTCGGGCTGGGGTCCTCAGGGGGCTCCTCCGGGGGTCCTCCGGAGGCTGGGTTCCTGAGGGCTTCCCCGGGGGTCGGACCGGGGCCCCTAAGGGCTCCTGGCAGGATCGAGCTGCACGTTTCGCATCCAGGCGCGTGTCAGGATCCGTAACAAGGGTCTCGCGGTGAAAAAATCGCAAGAAAATCTGGGCCATTTTTGGGATCGGGGTGCTTTACGTACACACAGCTGCGAGGCCTGCCGGCGGCGGCAGAGTCATTACCACGCGTTTCCGGCGTCGTATGGTCCAAAGGGGAGACATGTTTGTCTGTCTGTTGGCCGCCGGACGTCGTCCGCGTCGTCGGCGTCGACTCACCAGACGGCCACCACCTGGTTGATGTCGGGCCGGCAGGGAAAGGGGCTGCTTTCGTGGCGCGGCGCCGAGTAGCGCTCCACGGAGGGCCGAGAGGGCGCCAGCTCCTGCCAGCGCGGCAGCGACGCCGCGTCCACCACCGACTCCTCCATCACCGAAGAGCGGACTGCGGCGTCACGCACCGTTAGAGCGGAAGATGGTGCTTGGTTAGCCCGCGGGGCGCCAGATCGTGCACACGGGTGGGAGAGGGCGACGCAGATGTGACGAAGGCAGGAGATGACTTTATGGCGTTTGGTGGTGGTACGAACGTGACACGTGGAAGGAGTGCGAAATGGAGACCACTGCTCTGTATTATGCATATCAGTGTTAGTGGGTCACCACCTATGTAAAGTAACCATGAACATGGGAAATGCAGTACTCTCTACGGTCCTTCACGACTTCAGCATTCACGGCGGTCAATGGTCATCAGCCACAGGGATCCGGGCTTCGATGTCCATTTTCCACGATGGTTCACGTGATTACTCGTCCGGCAAAAACCATGGTTTCTAGACATCTTCATAGCTATCATAAACGCACGTTCCCGATGTGTCCTTTAACTTCACGACCTGCCATTGAGCGCCTCAAAGAAAGTGTGCTGTATCTCTTTAACCCACAAACTGATGGGTGCAGAGGGCCGACGGCTGATGCATGATACACAACTGAATAGTCACTAACTTAACAGATAAGTACCAACTGGGAGAGCTTTGCATTTTAGACATTTACTTTAACAGCACAAAGCCTCAGGTCCACGGAGCGTCCGCCAATCGCGAGCGAGTTGGCAGTCGATCAGTTGGACTGCAAACACTGGCCACCACTGGCCCAGTGAGAGCAAGGGCCTGCCCCCCCCCCCCCCCCCCCCCCCCCCCCCCCCCCAGTAAGCCGCCGCGGGCGCCGTCATACATTGCGTTCGTGATGCTGGCCAACAGCAGGCAGCCATCTAACAGTCAGTGAACTGTGCCCTCTGTATTGGTCAGATGCGGACTACCTGCCACCAGCCAGCACATGGCTGATTGGCAAAAGATGACGAGGGTTATGCGAGAAGCCTGGATCAGCCACCTCTGTAGGAGCTCTGTATTAACCAACAATCAGCCCACTGAGCACCAATGGCTTAGCACATCGCCGACCAAGGCAACACACAGCACTTACAAGGGCTGTGTGTTACTCACTTACTCACTTACTCCTTGATACGTCAATGCTATCTGCTCTCGATCTCCAGACAATATCTGACCATGTGCTCTGAATCTATTTCTGATGCACTGGTCACATGGGCTCTATGTTGGATGGTGTGGTGGCTGACCAGGCAGACCCACTGGAACCCATGTGGTGGGGGAGAAAAGGTTTAAATCCCAGTTGCACCATGGCTGCTTGGTGGTAAAATATATCACTGTTGTGCATGGTGATGCACATCATGTGTTCTCTCACAAAATGTGCTTTTTTCCATAAAAAGTGCTTCACAGTGGTCAGGAAAAGGCTGCTCCCAATAGGTCAGCACCATGGGTGGATTTTGCTGCAAAGAAGGAAAATATGGCAAGCATGATGCATAAGCCCCCAGGGACTCCTGAGGAAGAAACAATATTGTGTTCTCACTGAGCCATTACACATGAAGTTGTTGGGAAGTGTTCACAGCCATTTCCTGGGAAATGTTCCAAGGTCTATGCCAGCTGCTAGTATTCCTCCTAGAAGTGTGTTTGCTTGCCAGAGTTGCAGACTTCATTTTTTCACAAATAAAAGGAGCATGATAAATATCTATAATACATATTTTTGACCAGTGTATCATCAGCCTTCTGATCAATGATCTCATTAATAACAAAACCCCACATTAGGTCTAAACAAGATGTGGATGGATTTGGTTCCCCAGCAATTAGCTAAGAATATATTTCTAGGACTGGGAACATCTAAGATCCACTTGATATCTGTGCAGAATACTTGCTATATGTGCGGGACAAGCCTAAATATTGCACATCCTAGCTTGGATCTGTCAGTTTGTTGGTAAGTGCTCCTCTATGTACTCCACCATTTAGGCAAGACACAGTTTTTAAATAAGCCCAATAGGAGTCTGATAAGTAACAGGATTGGTGAAATACACCAGTGCCTCTAGCTAAACAACTGCATTACTGTAGTCAACTGAACAAAATGCACAACAATAACAGTACATTTATTGTTCTGCATTTGCTGCAGCTAAGCGGCAGCTTTTCTTAACACAACTTGGTACCATCATATCAGAAAAAACAAGAAATTTAACGTAGCACTAACGTTTTTACGTAAGCAACATTGCACATTTTGGGAAGAAAGGCAAAGCACGACAAAACATTTGGCACGATGCTCTGTATCACGGTGAAACATGAGAACCACTCCAGAACATAAAATTGTGTGTTTTTTTGCAAGATACAAGCCACCACACTCACGACCTTGCACACACGCACACAGGTACTCACGGTCAGAACATCGACAGTCAACTGTCTCTGTAACCCAGAACAGTTCGTGATGCGCGCAATGAGGCAAAGAACGGCCCTGAGTGAAGTTGCTTACTAGTTTTCTTTACGTCGCTGCTGCGGCGCTTTCAGCGATATGGTAGCCTGCAGCCATATACCACCGTAGAGGAAATATGAGCTCGGGGAAAATATGGGAGGCGATTCCCAGGTGCACTCCCAACTTCAGCCACCTCTCGCGGTTCAGCCTTGTTGCTACACTTGAACTAGGACCCATAAGGTCATAACCTCGAGTAGCGCCTGCAAGGAGCCGAAAAACCTCATCTGTGGGTGGGCGACGTTACACCGTAAGAGCAGGTGGGAAAATATCTCTTTTTGTAGGCTTAAGCTGGGCCACGCGCACGCAGCCCACTCATTTCTCCTGGCTGGCCAGCGTGCCCCAGCGCACGAAAGTTGTGGCGAACAGCTCACGGTCCAGCTAATGTTGGTCCCTGTCGTTTACGATGCGGTAAGAGGGGCATGCATTCGGGCAACTAACTCTTACGCAGCTGGTTGGAGAACCGCCATGTTGCAACTCTTATCATTTTTAGCAAGCAATGGCTTAGCGTGATTTACAGGCATCCAGCAGACATCATTGTCCAAATAGTTCCATACAAGTGCAACTGCATCCGTGAATGAAGGCGCTCGCGCCCCCCCCCCCCCCCCCGCCCTTTAGACTGACGTGACTTGATGGATTAACGTCATTTGGGTAACCGCATAAGCAGACTATGTTTTTAGGGTTTTTCATAATACGAAGTGGCCAGCATAGTCGATGCGTACCGAAGCCACAAATTATCAAAATAAGTCATGCCCGCGCTTACCAAGGTGTTTGAAAATTTTCGGTGGCATACACAATCCATCCGTTTGCCACGCGGAGCCTAGTTTCATAACGTGCGGCTTTCACGAAAGACACCGACTACGGTGTGTCGAGAGAGCGATATATATATATATATATATATATAATATGTAATTTAAAAATGTAGATGACAAACTGCGCACCTACTTCGTCGGTTCACGTCTGCAACACGGAAAACGTAAGGCGCAGTCGTGAACAAACACCAAACCAAGACAGTCGGGAAGCAGTTGGGAGCTTAGTTTTGGGGCTAGTTGAAGCAACCTTCAGAGGTCAAGAGCGAAGTAATGACCGGTTGGTGGGGATTAGCTTCCCCGTACCCGACCCACGATGATCTTGTCGAGTGTAAAACAGGCTTCAGGCCTGACGCTGATCATCGCGTCGGGAGCTGAAATTGGCTGACTAATTACTTGGTGTCACGCTGCCTCGCTCCCGCGCATTGAGTCTGGTCGGATATCGTGCAGTGCTTGTACTTACCGGATCGACGTACTCGCACGCATTGCAGCATCCACTTGCCAGCACTGTTCTCATGAATTAGGTTCGACCTAAAAGTTTCCGTTCGGCTTTGCTGTACTGTGCATGAGCGTCTGTCGTCAGCATTGTGGTTTTACGACGCGCTCAGCTGCTGAGGCTACACGGCGTCGCCTGCCTCTCACCCCCGCAGGGAGGTCGCGGTGAATCGAACCCTGTACCTCTTGTTTCCCAGACGCGCAATGGTTAACGCACACCGTTATCGACTACGCTATCAGCGCACTGCGCGGAGCACTCGCAGCGGATACATTGCGCGAATGTTGTACCATCGCTGTAGGTGCCACTGGTGATAAAATTGGAGTGTACCTTAATAAAGCGCAAGGCAAATCGCTTGTTCATCATTTACTCGCGATATGCTGCGCGGAGAACAAGTCGCTGCATTTAGCTATCTCGTTCCCAGTGTGCTCGAAGCAAGCCCAAAACATCAGGCCTCCAGGCTATCTCCAGCAGGCCAGTTGGGCGTCAGACGACGCCAGATCGGGATAATAAAATGAAAAAAACACGACAAAAACGGTAATGAATGCCGCAGCGGTTGAAGAATACCAAACGGGGCATTAAAAACGCGTGAAATACGCCAAGGAACTGATGCGTGGATGTCCCATCTGTCCCGTACACTGCGGTCCTTCAGCGTGGAGATAACACAATACATGGACGTAATAATACCGCGCGTGGAGCTTAATCGACAAAGAACAGTCCTTGCGACCAGCCTCCGGCGGTTGATTGCGTCGGCCTGCCACGACAGCAGCAAAACCGTGCTGAGCAGGTCCTCTGAAAAAACTTCCCAAATCTGAGCGACTGCTCGCGGGTTGACGCGTTGGTGCACGAGACTGCGCGGCGTCTCACGCACCGATAACTCACGTGCATCCTCCAGAGACCTCTCTCCGCCAACACCACACGGCCTCCTCCGTCCCAGCCACGCACATTCCGCTGAGTACACTCCCACGTTTATTTCACACCCAGCCATACGCGTCACTAGGAAACAATGCACAAAAAGAGCGGCGCGGCGCGCCCGGGCGCGTGGCGCGCGCCGCCGCACACCGCCGCCGCGCGCCACTACTCGTAGATATCCTCCCTGTCAGCCACGTACCGCACGATGTCGGCCGGTCGCATCAGCTTCTCGGCGTCCATGTCCGGGATTTCAAACCCTGGCGGTGGCGCGGCGCGCGGTCAGCACGCGGCGGCGGGCCGTGCGGGCGGGGCAGGGATCACGGTCACATCGTCACACCGGCAGCCGCGTGACGGACCACGGGGGGGGGGGGGA